CCCCCACCCGCCGCCCTCTTTTTGGGCAAATCGTGGCCCCACTTAATGGTGAATCCGTGATCAATGATTGATACCGGCATCGCTCGAAAAATCAACTCGTGTCTCACCCCTATTCTAAACTGTTTATCTGAACCCGCTTGTCAGGGGGTAGATTGTCGAATCCCCGCCACCCCCAAGTCACATTTAAAAACAAATCAATCATCCTCCGAGCTAGCTTCTTTGGAGGTGCATATCCTTAGTAAATTGTCTCAGTCACAGTCATGTTCGGGTTGAAGTGCGTACACCAACAGCAGGCTAAAAATCTCATGTGAACCTCAGATAGTTCTCATCCTTAATTAAAAAAACAAAAACAAAAACTACAAGTATATAGGCCTAATTGTTGAAATATCGACAAAATTAAAAAGCACATTTCTTCTAGAAAAAGCTGCAAGACTTTTAACATTTTGATGTTGAAAAGATGTTTAAATATTCAAAAATCTATATCTAATCAATTAAGTTTCACAAGTTAGTTTTTGTCAAACACCCGTTCATTGTTTTAAGCCCTGTCCAGGCTTCCAAATTTCATTTGAAAAAAGCATGTGACATACCTAAATATGGTCATGAAGACATAACATCATGACCATTTATAGACACATGACTTTAAACGGGCATACAACAAGTTGTTTTTTTTTTTTTTTTTTTTTTCCCCGGACAGGGCCTACAAAATAATTATTGTTCTCCAGAGTCAGTAGTGTCTAGTCACAGATTGGATTTAATCTTTTACATTAGAATACGATCATTTTTTTCTGATCAACAGAAATTAATTTGTTTGAATATGGACCTATCAATAAGAGTTTGACCTCTTTCGTCATTGGAAATGATTTTGATGCTCGTATTTATGAGAATGTCGCTTCTCACTTAGCCAAACCAAAGTTTGTCAAATACAATATGGTCAGTTACACGCCACATGGTGATAGGCATAGCAGTTAGGGCTATACTGTATAACCATAGAGAAAATAGAACATTAACCCAAGGGCCAGGGCCGTATTCAGAATTACCATTAGTATTAGGGATGGAAGTGGCGCAACACTATAATCTGATTAATTTAAAATCTATTATTCACGTACGCGTAATATAGGCCTCATTAAAGTTGAATATTTTTGCTTTTAATGGCAATATATATAGGCC